CGGTATGCATGGCACCACTCCCTTCACTGCACCATAAAGATGGGGAACCTGGTGCAAATACAAAATGATGCGACTACTTGAACCCATTTAACCTACGCAGTTCTATTTCTTCTTCTTCTTAAAGTGCCTATCCGTTCTGGATGTTGGCCATCACCATAGCAATTTGAGCTTTACTGGCTACTTGAAACAGCCCTCCAGTGGACATCGAGAACCAAGTTTTTAGGTTCTGAAGCCAGGAGATTCTTGGTCTGCCAGGTCCCCTCTTTCCGAATCCTTTTCCCTGGATTATCAGCTGAAGCAGCCCGTATCTATCACTATTTCTCATGATATGACCAAAATATTCCAACTTTCTCTTTTTTATGGTGTTAACAACCTCGACGTCTTTGTGGAGTGTCTCAAGAACTTTTTTGTTAGTTACACGGTCAGTCCAGGAAATTCTGAGAATACGTCAGTACAACCATTAGCAGCCTTAAAAATACCTCTATCTTCACAACTGACTTTCAGAGATGTTTCTTGTACCTTTTCAACCAACTTTCAAAAATGCATTCCTTCAGCTACGGACATCCTATTGTGGGACACCCAGTATAACCGCATAAGACATTATAATCTTGTTGTTAAGGTTAATATATTAAAAAGTTAAAATATCGTTTTGTTAAAATTAGAGACAAAATGAAACTATATACAACAGTATTTCAACTTTTTAATAATATATGAACTTTATCAACAAAATTATAATGTTGTGTGCAGTTATATAATTTTACTATACACTGTTTGACTCCTGTAACTAATGTTTTTAAGTCAATCTGTGATTACACTAGCAGTTTACTTTATAGTTGAATGATGTTGCTATTTGAAAGCATACATTAATGCATTACTGGTGACACTGCAAGTAAGGATATAAATGGAAAATTTATTCATATTCACATATAAAACCACAATGGGATGCCTATCTACAACATATCGAATTGCTATATGCTTGAAAAATATGTACAAAATGAAATCTCACCATAATGACTGACTGAAGACAGTTCTGCAAATTAAAGAAGGCATAACATTTCTCAACAACTTGAGTGATTTTCAAAAATGCACAAAGGTACCATACCTATCAATGGCTTACATCAATTCTGTAAATGTAACAAGGTAATGTATTTTATACAAACTCGCCACAAGCCATTCTACAACCAGAGAAGACATAAAATGGGACTAAACTTTTGAATTAAGTGACCAGGTATCGATATTCTGTCTAAAGTCATTCCTATGTAATCAGCTAATAATAAAACTTACAGTTCTTTACTAACGTTAAGAACAGTGGGGTTTTTTGTAACTGCACACTCAAGTAGAAGAACTAGACGCTCTTTCCATCAACCCAAGCCAAGCCAACACATAACACACAAAGCTTACTTCAAGGCTACACTGTCTAGAAAATTCACTGTATTAATAAACATTTCTTATAATCACACACATGCAACTCAAGGAACAAACGGAGAAGTCATTCAGCTATTTGTGAATCAGGCACAGCAGGTAAGGTAACACACCAAGTATATGGGGTATGAAATTATAAATTCCTAAAACAAAAATATGCAGCAGATGACATAGTGAAACGGTTCTAACCTACCTTCAAATTAAGTTACCAGTACATTTATCTAATTTTGATTGGTTACAAAATTTATATATTCAAATGTACATATGTTACATCAGATTTAATGTATTGTATTGCTTTGCTGAAATGTTTTTATTTATACAAAATTTAACACTGCTACAACCTACGCCATGTCACGGCTGTAAACGATGGATGTTACTTTTCTTAGAAATACATTCCCTTCAATCTGACAAATGACAGAAAAGTCAAATGAGTAATTTAGAAAGAATACATGTTATTCTCAAATAACGTCAACTTGAGATAGTACATAACCTACTTTATGATGATGTGCAGTTAGAACATAAGGTTTAACAAATTACTATTGTTTTGAGTTTCACAAGAAAAACTTTCTGCTTACAGAAGAACTGAGTTAATCGACAACTGAAGGCTTTTGCACGTGAGTGTTCATTCTATTTTCTTATTTAATGAAAATCATTTATAGCCAAACCATTTTAGTTGCTGCAATAATACACAAGCACCACATAACATGAGAGAGTTGACTTATAGTGAGACAGAGAGGAAGACGCATGCAGAATAGCTCAATCTATTACATGAAAGAAACCAATTACATTATTAGAAGCATTTCATAACTTAAAAGTTACAATCTTGATATTTCTTTAATTACATGATACTGAGTGATGCTATGTTATGGTATGGTTTGAAATGGTACCGACTGTCATAACTGAGATTTAGAAGTAAATGTTGGTATTTAATACATTATGTGTAGTGAAGATTTAAATGGGAACCTATTCTTCATGCAAAGATTTTTGGGTTGGTTTAACCCTCAAAGCAATCAATCTCTCTT